GTGCAAATAAATTTATGGTTAAAATAACATTTTACAATCATAATTTTTTTTTTTTTTTAATGATGCAACAATGAGTAAACCCCTAACTTCTGGAAGCATAAAAATGATTTAAATAAGTTAATTTTAGTACTAAAGGTATGTTTTAGATAAACTTTCATGTGTCTACATTAATATTCATTTGCTAAAAGTTATCACAAAAAAAATAAACTACCTGCCTTAACCAGGGATTATCCTTTTCCGGATTTTTTCGCAATTCCAGATATTTTTTTTAACTTTTAGTTTTTCCAGATATCCAAAACATTTTCAATACATACAAGTTGAGGTATATATTTTTGTAATATATTGATTTTTTAAGCTTTTTCACTCATCACTCATAGAAAAATAATGAAAAGTGTCAAAAAAAATCAGAAAAACTTAGTTAAAAGCAAAATTAAAAAGAAAATAAGGGAAAACAAATTCCGGATTTTTTCCGAATATTTTATTCAAACAATTTTCCGGATTTTTAAAATATGACTAGGTAGATCTATGCTCAACTAAACCTTCAGTCAATGAACAGCGGCACTTCCTTGTAGCAGCAGGCCATAAGGATAGTTGATGTAGTAGCACTTCCTTGTAGCAGCAGGCTAAAAGATAGTCGATGTTGCAACACTCTGCGCATGTTTTACAGTAAAAAAATAAAAACATTCAGAATGTTATAAAAGATAAAATAAAAACATTCTTGTCTTTTAATTTGCATTTTTGTGGTTTTTTAAAAAAACATTTAATTAGTTTCCTCAATTAAATTATATATATATATATATATATATATATATATATATATATATATATATATATATATATATATATATATATATATATATATATATATATATATATATATATATATATATATATATATATATATATATATATATATAAAATTGCTGTGGTTTGAGCCTGGGAACTAAAATACCTGAAAAAGTTTGACCGCTTACCTCAAATGTGAGGGTAGCAAGCTAATAAAAAACATTTTTTTGCTATCTTATTCTTTTTTTTTCATTGACAGATTTCAAATTTCATTTCATAAACTTTTAGTGTTTAAAAGTTATGATCATGTAAAACTTACAACCCCTCATAACTTTAGTTATGGTCAAAATTTTAAATCATCATAACTTTAAATTGTCAATCATCAAAACTTTAGAACATAAAAAATTGTTTGATGAAATTTAAAATCTATCAATGAATTTAAGTTTAGTATAAGATAGTAAAAATGAGTTTTTTTATTAACTCTCTCCGCTCACATTTGGCACATGATTGGAAGTTTTTCAGGTGTTATTGTTCCCAGTCTCCAATCAATATAATTTTTGCAAAACATTTTAATTTTTAACAATGTATTCTAAAAATATTACAAGCTTAATTAATGGTAAGTCTATATATTTAAAAGTAAAAGATACTTATGTAGAGTTTAAGTCAGAAAAACAACAACTACAGATTTTTGTTAGATACAAAAACTCAAACAAGAAGATAAACTAAAGTGGCACCTTGTGGCAGCCAGATTTATAAAATTGTTAAAGTGAACATATATAAGCTTTAAAACAGTGCATATAAAACCAGGATGCAGCAAAAAATCTATATTTAGTCTAATAAGCCTAATTTAGTCTAATAAGCCTAAGTTATTATGTCTGCATCCACTTAACCTTTAAATATTTTTGAATATTTTGACTATTGGATAGCGAAATTTGCAATAATTTTGTTAAAGCACAGAGGTTTTATGAGATCGTTCTCACTAAATTGCAAATTGGTCATTGTAGATCTTAGCACTGTCTTGACTAGAAAAAGGTTACTAAATGATTGCTCTTTTTCAGTGATGGAAACCAGAATCATGTTAAAAATGTACTTTCATTTAGTGTCTTTTTATAATATAAGAAAGCAATTATATGACTTATGGACCCAAACCATACAAAGAGATAAGTTTAAAATCAATAAATGTAAATGTAAAATGTAAAAAAAAAAGTTTTCTGCCAGATGTTTCTCTTTTTAGATATTTTTCTTTTGTAAAGTTTACAAATTGTTTTGAACATTTATTTTTATCTATATCAAAAGGCTATTTTGATTTTTATTAGAGTATTTTGATTTTTGATGAGCAAAGCTTTTAAAAGGCGTTTAAAAGGTGTGTTTTTTACATCCTGTTGGTAATTATTATTGACTAGTTCAGGACATTTATAGTCATGGGCCTAGAAAGGGCCTGGGGACCTCTGACTAACCCCACCCCCATTTGCATTTCTTGAAGAATGATTGTGATTTTTGATATTTTTATATTATTTTGATAAATCAAAAATTTACAATACGTTTTTAGACTTTATTTGGAAAATAAACTGTATCGTTAGAAGAATCAGCCTGAATATATATGGGCAAATAAGATATTTGTTGGGGCAGAGGATAAAATTGGGTATAATGAAATGGTTAGCACATAAATTTTAAATGGTTTTCATGCAAATTCAATAATGAATGATAATCCGAGAAGACAATGCAAATAACTCAGTAAGGGTATTAGACAATAAGCTCAGTATGTTGCCATTTATCAATAAAGGAATATCAATAATATTGTAATACTGTTAATACTGAAAAGATAAATTGATACTAAAAATAAACAAAATACAAAACTAAACTAATAACAATCAAAATCATAACAAATGATAAAATAAATAAAACCTAAAATTAAAAGAAGAATTTATTTAATTTCTAAATGTAATAAAATGAAAAATCAAAATCTTTTTCTGTAATAACTTAAACCAAACATTATTAAAAATGTAATCAAAAAATTTCTAATTAAAATATTTGTTAACCAGATACTTTAACAATCAACTTTAACTATTATATTTTTTGATAATCTAATTAAAAAGGCAATCATGCAGCAACTAAAATCAAACACTCAATGATCAAATAGCCAACATGACTTTTCACAGAAAAAAGCCAAATTACAATTTCTTACAACTTACAAATTCTTTTAAGGTGTAATCATATTTAACCTTTTAATTTTAGCTTTTAATTTATAAAATTATAATTATAAAATGTTAACGTTTCCAATTACTTGGGTTATTCTTCTTAACGGCAATGGTTGGTTTTTTTATAATGCTAACAATCCGTTTGAACGGATTGTTTTTATATTATTAACCTAAATATTTTTATATTTTAAATAAATAAAAGTTTATTTATGTAGCCTTTTAAAGAAACTTTTGAGTCAGTTAAGGAGGCACATATTTTTTGAAGGGCCTGTTTTTATTTACTTAAATTATAATTACTTTAAATTAACTTGAGATTAAGTTTTAATAATTTATTCCAAATTTTATTGTCATAAATAGTATTGTCATAAGGATTTTGATTCTTATTTTTTAATGATAGTTCTTCAGAATTATTAGTGAAAATGAACTTAAGATTTATTTTCATTATTAATTCCAATTGCTTTACTAGCACCAGATTTAATAAATTTTCTTTTTTTTTTAAAAAAAAAGGGGAAACTTGTTCCCCTTCCTATGAAAACCAACAATCTAATCGGATATTAGAACATTCTATTGAAATTAAAATGAATAAATAAAAATTATAAAAAATATTTTTACTTTGTATGTTTTCTTTTATGTAAATCCAAAATACTCCAACTTGTTTATTAATTTTTCTCTCGGACAAAAAATTGTTTTTTTCACATAAAATTTTATTAACATTAACATAAAACATTAACATTAAGCAAACTTTAGCAAATAAGCAAGCATTAAAATTGACTGTTAACATTATATTTGAAAAAAATCTTATCTATGAGTAATTTATCTATGACTAAAGAGTAAAAAAAAAATTGAATGGCTGAAAAAGAAAAGAGTACAAAAGTGAATTTATGACCGATGCCAATGCATCAGTATCACCAATGGGCAATCGGCTGAAAGGTGGTATTGGAGCACCCCTATCTATTACCATAGGTTTTATAAACAACATTTTTTATCTTTATAATTTTTTTTTTAATTTACATACTTTCATGGCATAGTTTGTCTATTGACATTAAAGTCTAAATAATCACTTCTAAATTGTTTTATAAAATCTATTTAATGTTTTAAAGCCATTATTTAAAAATCTGACTGAGTTTTTATACTTTTGTTACTCACCCAGTTGTTCAGTCACTGAATCACTCAGTTTGGTGAAAGAAGCAAATAGTCATTGCTAAACTGCTTAAATTTTTAACAACAACAAACAGAAAATATTTCATAGTCAATAGAATATAACTATAAGAAAATAAATTTCTTTTGGTTTTTCATCCTACCAAAAAATCAAAAAACCTGATATACTATATTGTATATTGATATTCTAGTATTGGAACGTATATACGAATATTCTTTATTAAAACATAATTTTGAATCTAAGGGATATTAGTTTGTGATATTTTTAAAATTTAAGGCCAAAAAAAAGTGTTTTTTTTGAACTTTTGGACGTGTAAACACTTTTAGAAAATAAAGATTTTTGGTGTAATTAGGCGGAAACTTTAAATTAAACTCAATGTCCAACCAAGTAGTCAAGGTGTAGGTTAACAGCTTTATATTGTTACTCACAATCTTATATTCATAATTTTATTCCGAAACTGTAAAAGCAATACCTTTATAGACAGACCAATTACTGACCCATCAAATTGACCTGTTACTGACCTACCCAATTGTACTGTTACTGACCCACCCAGTTGTACAGTCACTGGCGCACTGTGAACTGTAGTTGCTCCTTGGCTTCAATGAAGAGAACACAGTAAAAAAAAAAAAAAAATTAAAAAATTTCCTAGTCTGTAAGAAAACCTTTTGGGTGAGTGACCAGCTTAAGCATAATGTCTGTTTTAGACATTTCACTGCATATATGCTTGTTTACCTCTAGCAAAATATAACAATATTTATAACAATATTTTATTTATAACTATAGTGTTGTAGCTTATTTTTTTAATTTTAATTTGAATAGAAGTTTAATTTATTTTAAATTTTTTTCTTGTTTAATAGCTTATCCCATTAGCATTACAAAAAGCAATTAGTGAAAACGTAATGTTCAGAGAAGGACTTCCTATTGATTTTTCTTCATTTGTTGGCGTTTCAAATTCAGAAAAGGTGAAATTTTAAAATCAAATATTTATAAATAAAACTACTATATATAAATAAATTGTAATAACCCAAATATAGCTATAGAACAATTAAAAATATATGCCTAATGTAGAGGGGTAAGGAATTAAAGAATTTTGAGTTATTGAATTTTATCTAGGAAATATTTTTTTGTCCATTCTAGAAATGTCCTGAGCGCGATACTTTTGTAAAAACAGTTAAAAAACTTATGGAGAAGCTTATTGATTATGTTGAAATTGATGAAGCAGGCGATGAGGTAGTTTTTTGTAAACACTTAAGTTTTTTATTCCAACACTAAAATTTCAAAATGATTGAAAATATAATTTAAAATTACAAAATATATTTATATGTATATATTTTTTAAATTATAATTTTCAAGTTGGTTAAGGTATTAAAAGTTATTTTTAATACCTTAAACTAAAATTTAATTATTTTATAAAGTTTAATTTTGTAAAATTACATTATTTTAGTTTTTAATTAAATATTCAGTTAAATCTGTAATATAGAACTTAAATGTGCAATTTTTGTTACCAAAAAAGTCTTAAAGTTTTTTTAACATTGTAAAAAGTTAATTTTTTTATTATTTATTAAAGTTTCATTAAAAATATTGTATATAAGGTATTCATAATTTTTATTTAAATTGTTTTTGTACAGTTTGTTTTTTTACTAATATTTTGTACATATTTGTTTTGTTTTTGGTATTTTCATAAAAGCTGTGTAATTTTTTTCTAGAATAGGGATTAATAATTATATATTTTGAATTTTTTTTTTTTTTTTATTACAAAATTTTTCCTAGTTTTTACTTTTCTCTTTTATGAAAAATCATAAACATCAAGCCTTCCCAGAAAAGGCGTGCGGTTTTTTGTTTCGTATGACCACACGCGATTATAATGTTTAAGAAAAAGTTTCAAAAACAAAAAAACAAAACTAACAAAATAAAAAGAGATTAAAATAGAAAAAAAAAACAAATTAATAATTTAAATAATTTTTGTACTGTTTTTATTGTTTCTTTAGAGTTACATTCAGCAACAAAATTAGATAAGGCGAAGCAACAAAAAAAAACAGTTTGAAGTCTACAATAAAAAGAATGATTTTCCTTTTCTTAATTTTTTTAAAGGAAAGCAAAAATACAAATTGCAATGTGTTTGTAAAATTTATTTGTATAATTTTAATGTAACATCAAGGGTTAAATTAAGCGAATGCAAAACGCAAAATCTGGAAAAATATCTAGTATTCAAAATTTTAGTTTATACAAAATCGTGTTCCTTGTTTTTAAGGGGAGAATCAACTTAAATTTGATAGCGAAAAAATAAAACAATAAACTTACGATTACAAAAGTAATAACACTCTAGTCACTAACTGCATTACAAAAGTAATAACACTATAATAGTATCATTACTTTTATAACGCATGTGAAAGTTCCTGAAATTTTTAATAATATTTGAATATCCGCTTTATTTTTTCTAGATGCTTTTCTACTTTAATAAATTTTTGGAATTAATAATGTTGTTTGAACAAAGAATGAACTTTAAAAGTAATAAGTGCTTTATAAATGTAATAACACTATTATAGTTTTATTACTTTTATAATGCAGTTAGTGACTAAAGTGTTATTACTTTTGTAGTCGTAAGTTTATTGTTTTTGTTTTGTTTTTTGTAATTTTCTCGTTAGCAAACTTTTAATAATTTGCTCCTTATAAACAAAGTACACAGCTTGCATAAACTAAAATTTTAAAGACCTAATATTTTACCAGAGTTTGTAAATTGCGATTGTATAATTTAACTCTTGGTATACTTGTTACATTATAATTATACAAATATATTTTACAAACAGATGACGATACATATTTTCTCTTTAAAAGAAAAAACACATAAAATATGGAAAATCATCCTTTTTAACGCCTAAAACCTTTTTTTTTTGCTTTGCTTTGCTTTGCTTTGACTTAATGAATTTTGTTGCCAATAATAATAACCACTAAGAAAAAACAAAATTAAAACCAACACACAAATTATTCAAACTATTATTATTGTTTTCTATTTAATTTTTTAGTAACACATAAATATAACTTGTGCAAACGACCGTGATCACATTCTTAAACTTGAAAAACGTTTTCGTGTATAAAAAACCGTATGCCTTTCCTGGGAAGGCTTGAACATGCTATAAATCTAAAAATGTAACTCCAGTTTTTTAGATTTATTTTTCTAATTTTTTCTTAATTTATAAAACTCATTTTTTGATTATAATTTTCGTTAATGATTTTTTTAAATTAATCAATGAAAAAATATAAAATTTTATTTTTATATATTAAACATTGCTTAAATTACTAATGTATAGTAATGTTTTATCAGATAAGGAAAAACAATTCAAAATTTATTAGTTTAAAAAAAGTTCAATATTATTAGGTTTAGTGTAAAATGCACTAAAAGTTTCATTTTCAATTTAAAACGAAGTATAATATTATTTTTCTAAAAAGAGACAAGGAACAATATAATTTTTTAAAAAACTCAAGGAACCAAGTATTCAAAGTGAACTAATGTGGGTTGTTATCAGCTGGATAACGAATAAACCAATAATTAAAAACTAGTAACAGAATAAACCAATCATTAAAAGCTGGTAATGGAATAATCAATCAAAAATAAAAACAATTTTATAAACTAAAAGAACTTTTTTTTTTTAAAAGATGATTTTTTACTTCAAAAATATCAATATAATTTGCAAATAATTTCCTCTCTCCACTGATTAATGCACCTCCTGCATAATTTTCTAACTCCTGGAAGGTTTGGAAGCTTTTAATTTCTTCATGTTGGTTTTAAGTCAAGCCTCACTCTACTCCATGGTTTTCATCTTCTTGTGCAGCTGCTTTATCTAATTGTAATCATTTTTTTCATCTTTTTTAAAAGAACAACTCTTTTGAGAATTAATGCCTATTCATTATTGCAAGAAATCAGTGTAAAAAGCTTTTTGATGCTAATCTCCATTCTCAGTTTACTAAATCTTATAACTTATATCAGAAGTTAGGTTCTATAGACTTTTGAAAAATATTCAACATTATCATTAACAAAATGGTTTAACATTCAATATCTAGTTCTTATGGCCATATTCTTCCTGCCATTCCAGTATAACAGATTAACCCATTGTTAGACATTTAAATCACTCCAGGTTCTGTTTAAGTCATATTTTAATAAAATATTTCTACAGTTTGTGGTCCAGACAACATTTCTGTTTTACAAAGGTGTTCTCTAGAACTCTTCTCAATTCTCTCTAAACTATTTAACAAGTGCTTGACTAAATCTTGTTTTCCTGCTTGCTAGAAAATAGCATCTGTGATTTAAATTTTTAAAACCTCTGAAAAACATTCTGACCCCTGCAATTACCCAGCAAACATTGTTTTATTGGGTTTGCAGTGGAACTATATTGGCATTTTTTAAAGGTTCATTGGAATTTTGCTCATCAGTTATTTAGTTATCAGTTTTTACTTTTGCTCATTAGCTACTTATGGACCATTAGTGACAGCTGCTATAAATGGAAAGCTGATAACTTTCCGACATTATAATAGTGGTTGGTCATCGGTTAGCCACTTTTAACGGCTGTCACTAATGGTCCACTATGTAACTGATGAACAAAACTTCAGCAATTTAATCAAAGTGCCAATATAGGTCCACTAAAATTCCACTATAGAATGTTTGCTGGGTATGGTCCGATCAGTCTTTATTATTAGCTAGGCCTTTGAGTCTTTGATCAACAAATTTTTAACATCCCATTGTGAGTAAATAACTTACTGTCAGACAATCAATATAGTTTTCGATCCTCTTGCTCTACAGTTGACTTGCTAACTGCTGTGACTGAAATATTTTATTGTTCATTAGATGGAGGCGACAGGGCAAAGGCTATTGTTCATTACATCTAAAGTTTTTGATAAATTTTGGCATACTGGTCTTCTCCATAAGCTTGCTTTATATGCTGGAAAGTTTTTGAGATTATCAAATCATTTCTTTCTAACCGCTGTTTTGACAAAAAGTCTTCTCTTTTTATTCGCTTAGAACAGGCAGCCTTTTCTAAGAGATCAAAAATTGGGGCTTGTAGTAGCTTGTAAATTCTAACTCTAGAAAAACTCAGTTATTACTGCAAACAAGTTATTATTGCAACACTGTCAACATTCCTATATAAATGAATAGCAACTCTCTCACTGAGTCCTCTTCTTTACATCTTCTTGGATTATTGTCAATTGCTAAATTAGCATCTGTTAAGGTTGCTTCCTTTATCTTGCTTGCCATTTTTTTATTCTAATGATGCTCTTTTTCTTTTAGACAAGGTCCTACAACTTTTCAAGTCTGTTATACAATCTACAACTTTTCTGTCAACCATTTCCTTGTTCTATTACTCTATCTTTTTGTTTTCTAGTAACTCCCAACTTAATAGTGGTTGCTTGCAGGTTGTTGGAAGTGAATTTAAAAAAATAAAACAATACTATTATGCAAGGAAGCATATTCTATGATATCAAAAGATTAGTGTCAAGTTCTGTGCAAAAATTACCAAACAGATTTCCTAATTTTTCTCAAAAACGGTAGCCATTTTTATTTTCAAAAACATGATAAACGTAATTTTAGAAAATTACGCTGATTCTCATAGCCAAGATTCTTTTAAATGTTAAAATGTGAATGGTTCTTTGGGATGAATAAATTTTTTTTTTTTAATTTTAAATTATTGAGAACATAATATTGTCTTTATTAACTATATGTTTTTCTATGATGATTAAATGATTTCACACTATTGAGCAATTTTTTATTTTCAAAATTAAATTTTCAAAGATTTTATTTTCAAAATTAAATTCAAATTTAAATTTTATTTTCAAAATTAAAATAAAAAAATAAAAAAAAATAAAAATACAAAGAATCTATTTTTACATATACAAGAGAAAATGAACTAGTTAGGTGTTTTACAATTCTTGCATGTTACTGACAATTGCAAAATATAATTTTTATTTTAAGTTAAAGAATTGTGAGTCTGGATTTTATTAACAAAAGTTCGCATAGAGGCACACTAAATGAAGAGGTTTTGAATAATATGTTAAAGCTTCACTCAGAACAAGAATGACTGAGACACTAACAAAGAGACTATTCAGGAAAGATTTTCTCTGTTAATTCCAATCTAATTTTATTTTTATTCTCTAAAAGATGTTTTACACATCACATTTTGACAGAAGTTTTTTCTATCCTTATCATCATTATTGTTTTATGTCCATTATTCTATTTGTTTTGGTTAAATACTTTTACATCATAGCATTCTAGCAAGCAAAGTATGTAAGATTTATATTAGAGGAGTTTAAGTTTCTTCAAGCAGTATGACTTATATATAACTTTTTAATTTTTATTTTTCTTGAGAAAAACCTACATAATTATGACAAAGTATACCATACAGAAACAAATAAGAAATTAGCAGAGGTAGGGAATGAAACTGGAAGTAAGAAAATAGCAACCACAATAAAAAAAAACAACCTTAGAAGATGTTAACTTTGCAATTAATTGTATATATAGTTTCCATGAGAGGTCTGTTGTGAATGAGTGAATGAAAGTTCAAGTAGAAAACTCAGTAAGAGTATTGTCATTCATCAGTATTGGAATATTAACAGTATTGTGAATAACTAAGTTTTGCTAGAGTTAGAATTAACAAACCACTGCAAGCCCCAGGCTGTTAAAGAGGAGAGATTAGATTCAAGATTAGCTGCTTTGTGGATGACTTTGATACTGCGGTTAGAAACTAATGATTTAATAATTTTAAAAACTTTCCTAGATACACCAATTGATACACTCATCTAGGTACACCTTTCCTAGATACACCAATAGCTGTAACCTCACTGCCACATCTAATGCACAATGAAAGCTTTCTGTGATAACCAAGTCAGCTATAGAACGAGGACCAAGATTTATGTATTAAATTTCAGAAAGCAAGTTTTTCGACTAAGGATAGGATGTTAGAAAACACGTTTTTCGACTAAGGTTAGGATGTCAGAAAGCAAGTTTTTCGACTAAGGATAGGATGTCAGAAAGCAAGTTTTTCGACTAAAGATAGGATGTCAGAAAGCAAGTTTTTAGACTAAAGATAGGATGTCAGAAAGCAAGTTTTTAGACTAAAGATAGGATGTCAGAAAGCAAGTTTTTAGACTAAAGATAGGATGTCAGAAATTTGTTGATTGAAGACTTTAAGTCAAGCTAATAATAGAGAGTAATAGAGAGCTAATAATAATTGGACTATAATTAGATGGGTTAGAGTATTCTCCAGAGTTTTTAAAAATTGACCCCACAGATGCTCTTTCCCAGCATGCAGGATAACAAAATTCGAATTTATTAAATAGTTTGGAGACTTTTTGTTGTCAGAACCAACAAGTAGTAAATGAGTTTAAGAAAAAAATAATTTTAACAATGGAAGTCTGAGTGATATGGTTGTCTAGCAATAAATTAACCTGGAATGTCAGAAAGAGTTTAGTTATTAGAATAAGTTGAATTAGAGGAAAGTTCTTTGCTAATAGTTCTGCCTTATCTTTGGAAGACCTATTAAAATAAGATCCATGCACTAGAGGTGGAAAAATAGAATAACTTGTTAATGACAGTTGAAGGTTTTCAAAGCTCTCTAGAACCTAACTTCTGAGATAAAATACAAAATTTAGTGAACTTAGTCTATTGAAACTTTGGAGTATTTTAGACTTGGCTTGAAAGCAAGTAAAAGCTTCCATACTTGCCTGGATCCAGGAGCTACAGATATATTATATGTGTGTGTATGTATATATATATATATATATATATATATATATATATATATATATATATATATATATATATATATATATATATATATATATATATATATATATATATATATATATATATATATATATATATATATATATATATTGGTGTTTCTTATTTTTGCATGGGTCACCCTGCGGTTTGGTTCATTATCATAAAAATAACCTTTTTTTTTTTTTTTTTTTTAGAATAATTTTTAGAGGTCGCTACCGACCCTATAGTATTGTGCAAATGTACCCTAAAAATGCTTATGTTGTGTATGATGTTATGCAACAAAAGTGGTTGGTGCTTAGTGTACAAATCTCTTTTAACTAGTAATTTTTTTACTTTTAGTGTGCAGAATTGTGTCTATAATGCTTTATTATTCCTTTTGCAGGTTAAACTAGTGTAACTACTGTACAGTGATGGCTTCATCAACCAGTGCAACGACAGCTACCAGAAAGAAAACTGAGATATGGCTTATTGGACAAATGTCCTCTTAGTTAGATAGTGTTATGCTTCCATCAAAATGGAAGTGTTGGTCCTTTTCTTCCATTACAAGCAGATTGCCAAGCAAAGCATTAGGGAAGCATTACATTCCACAGCAAATGATGTTTTTGAAGTTTGGTCAAAGGCCCGAATACCTGTGTAATTAAAGAGGCACGTTCTCCCTAAAATCGAAAACATTTACAAGGAATGGGAAATGTTGAAGAAAAATAAAGAGAATAAACCGTTGATTATTTGAAACAAAAGGAAGATCAATGGAATAAAGGGTTAGAAGAACTATTCGATATTGCCTATGCCAACGCATTGAAAATGATCACCATTCAGGAGGATAAGGACTTCTTATTATGAAAATTCAGAGAGGCAAAATGGGTCCAGTCTATAAGAAATTGGTAAAGCAAGAAGAAGTATCAAGAAAAAGACAAAAAGAAATGAACCAAAAAAGGAACCGAGTTGATTGAGAATTTGTCATTATCATCTGAAGGTGAAGATAACCCTAAAGAAGACAGCATAACTCAAGAAGATGCCTTGCCTAATAACCAAGATGACCCTGAGCCATCAACTTCAGGTACACCGGCTCCAAAGCATCCTAGATGTGGCAGGAAAAATATACTGAATGAGAAGTTTGTGGCTGATTTAGATGTGGCTAAATTGAGTGATCCTGGGGTGGCACTTGTGTTAACAGCTGCATTACAACTTCTTGGTAATGATCCAACAGAATACAATGTTAATCCAGCTTCCATTCGAAAGGAACAAATAAAACACTGCAAGAAGATAGCAGATTTAAGAAAGGAATTCAAACCAGAAGTTCCTTTATGTATTCATTGGGATGGAAAACTACTCGCTGACATCACCAGTAAAGAAACTGTTGACCAACTTCCAATTCTAATATCTAGAGTAGGAGTGCAGCAGCTTCTTAGTGTCCCAAAACTATTAGCAGGAACAGGTGAAAATGTGGCATATGCAGTGCATGACTTGTCAGTGGCATGGGGAATTAATGATCAAGTAAAGTGCATGTGCTTTAATACTATTGCAGCCAATACTGGACCAAGAAATGGGGCTTGCATTCTTCTAGAGCAGAAGTTTGGGAAAGATGTGTTGTGGTTAGCATGTCGTCACCGCATTTTGGAAATTATTTTGGAAGCAGTAGTTTTGCTGTGTCTCGGCCCTTCCAGTGGACCTGACATACCACTCTTTAAAAGATTTCAGAAAAGTTGGATCTCAATTGATTCCACAAAGTACCACACAGCACAGTCTGATAAGAATGCTTCAAATGCTCTTACCAAAATTACTGATGAAAGAATTGTCTTTTACAAAGATCCAACCTTGTGACGACTACCGAAAAATTTTGGAGTTGCCTGTTGTTTTTTTGGGAGGATTACTTTTGAGGAGCATTTCATTTAGAGCTCCTGCCGGTCTCACTGGATAGCGAAAGCTATTTATGCGTTGAAGATTAGGATGTTTAGAGACCAATTCAGATTGACAAAAAAGAAGAAAAGGAAATAAGAGATATTTGCCTTTTCACGGTTCGACTGTATATTACAGCCTGGTACAGATCTCCTGAAGCAACCTCAGCTCCTAGACTTGATCTGCAGCTCTTGAAAGACTTGGATGCCTACAAGAGTTTAAGACAATAGTTACAGTACTAAGATTAATCTCTCATGAGCGATTAATCTTAGTACTGTAACTATTGTCTTAAATAAACCTACAATCAAAGTAAAAAAGCATGTTTATTGCTGTTTTTTAATAAATAAATAGAAATGCAATGACAGAAAATGGATGTAATAAGATTTAATGCATGTAATAAGTAAATAAATGTGTACCAAGTAAATGAGTCATTATCACCAGTCTTCATCAGTTTTATGATTTTTTCCTATGTTAATGACTAAGAGCGCATAGTAAAATATGCCATAAATTTCAATGATTGGTAGCGCCCAGTAAAAATGTTTTTTTTCCCCTTGAAATTTTTACACATTTATTTTCTCACCAAAATGAACCATTTCAGTGGGTGGCCCACTAAAAATTTTAACCCCAAATAAGAAGAACCCTAATATATATATATATATATATATATATATATATATATATATATATATATATATATATATATATATATATATATATATATATATATATATATATATATATATGTTGTTTGTGCATTAGCATTTCTAACTTTTTAAATTACATTTAAATCTATAATATTTAACTTATAGTGTATTAATATACTTTAATGATTTAATTACTTTGATTATTTATCAATACTTATAATATTTATTTAAATTACATTTAACTTATGTTTTTTTAAAGAAAATATTGTTTCATTGAAAAAGTTTCCTGCTTCATTTGTAATTAAAAACAAAAGTTCAAATTTATTCTCAAAAAAGTCATCAAAAACTCTTGACATGTATTTTATATAAAGAATTTTTTTTTAAATAAATTTATATTAGATATTTTTAATTAAAGGTTTTAAATAAGTAATTAAATACAATATAAAATTTTATTAAACTTTTTAACTTATTTAACATAGAAAAAACAAAAAACTGATTAAACTAGTTGCAACTCTTTTAATTCGTTTTTTCTTTTGCTTGAATATTAAAGTGCTGAGTACGAGTATGCTGCAAGTTAGCATAAAACTTCAAAAGTTCTTTTTGTACATTATAGTATATGGCTCAATGGTCTAGCGGTATGATTCTCGCTTTGGGTGCGAGAGGCCCCGGGTTCGAATCCCGGTTGAGCCCATTTTTGTGGTTTTAACACAATGTGTATATAGTTTATAGTTGAAAATAATTATTTAAGATCGAAAAAATATATAATTTTCGTGGTTTTAATGTAACTAAAAAATTAATTTTTAGCTCGTGTTGGATCACATGGAAGAATTTCAGCCACCGTACTATTCTTCTGGTTAAATTCTTTTGTGATTTTTTTTAATTAACTATACTAATACTATACTGCTTTATTTAGAAGCACCTTTTCTTTATATTGCAGATGATGTTGAATGCTCAGTGTTTAGTAAAGATGGATTTTGGGATGGTGAAGTGCGACGTCATCATAAAATAGAATTGAGTACTGAGTTAAGATTAGTTCGTCCAGGAATAGTTCGGTATGTAATAAATAGTTCGGTAATTATGTATATTTATTGCTTTTATACACATTTGCATTCATCGTGAAAGTGTACTTCATGCTGTTTTTTCTACAGGGTTATTCCAGCAGATACTGAGTTGCAAGTTTATTATTCTGTCGAAAACAGTCGGCAATATAAAGAAGTTCCTCTCAGAGTGCTTCGTTTTTCACTAGAGGTTGGTTTTATTGATACGTTGAAATATTACATAAAGTCCTTCTACCGTTACTGTTATTGTTTAGTTTATCAGGCCTCAATATCCTAAAACCAGTGGCGGATTTAGCATAAGGCGTAGGAGGGGGGAAGCGAGCAGTCCCCACCCCACCCACTTACCTGCGCTTCCTAATATTACATAATCCTGCGTTTTCTTTTAAGGGAAAAAGAAAACTAGGCAATAACAAACCATGGTTTACATACCTGCTTTACAAATTTGCCTGCATTTATTGAAGAAAACAAAACGTCTCCGTTTTGTTTTAAGAAATTATCTCATAACCATAATGTTCACAGTCAATGCATTTTTAACATAGTTCGATGTATCGATACTATTTTGACTGGACAGTCACAATAGTATTGTGCTTAAAACCTACTTGAAAGGAGGAGAGGAAGGATGCAACCAACCACTGTTCATTTTATCTAATATAATTGAACCATGGTTGCTTGCCCCGCACCGGTAAGTAATGGTAATTGTCCGAGGGATGCCGATGATAGACCAAATCAGGAGTTTTGATTAATCCAGTTACAACATCGCTGCTACAATGATTTTGGTTCTAGAATAATTTCAAAACGGTTAATCATTCGTATCGTTTAGGTATACACGAGAATCTAGCTTGCAAAACTATAAAATCTTTTTACGGAACGTAATAATAAATGCGGTCCAAAATTTTACAGAAAAATGCGGAATTTAATGTATAAGTTTTTGTGTTAAAATTTGGACTAAACTATTACGTTAAAAATATTGTTCTGCATTGTAATAAAAGCATGAAAGATTTTTTTTATTGAGAATTTCAAATTGTTATTTGAGAAATTCTTAAATAATAAAATTTTGTTATTTATGCTCCTCCTATGTATTAGCTTTTGATATCTTCTCCTATGCATTAGCTTTTAATATCTCCTCTTATCGATGAGTTTTTAATAGCTCTTATCGATGAGTTTTTAATAGCTCTTATCGATTAGTTTTTAATAGCTCTTATCGGTTAGTTTTTAATAGCTCCTTCAATTGATTAGCTTTTAATAACTCCTCATAAGGATTAACTTTTAATAGCTCCTATCGATTTGAGTATTATCAGATCTTTGCAATTAAAAATGTATTTTATATTTGTTTTAGGATGCCGACCTTTTGGAATATTTTTTGTTCAGTTATCCAGCGTACGTTGTTGTTGAAAACGCTCCTGGTGATGATATCCATAAGGTATTTAGATTTATTTTTTTTAGTATAGCATAAACGTTTCGCTTACTTTATATTAAACAAATATTCATTTTTCTTTATTCTTGCAGGTTGATGTCGCTAATCGTCTATACAACTTTGGTATTTTACGATCTAAGGTTCCATTGGTCCATACATGATAAAATTAAAATCGATTTATTGACATAATGGTTTTAATGTACGGCTACTATAATGAAAACAATGAAACCGTCAAAATTTTGTAATTCAGGTTTACAGCTTTTTATTAACAAAAAGAACAAATAATAAAAGCAATTATTTTCTCTTTCTACAAATTTATCAGAACCTTTTACTGTATTCAATAAATATAAATATATATGATTACATTTTTAATATCCATAGAATTTTGTCGGAAGTTAGATAAGTGAGACAACATGATCTGGTTAAAATAGGAGAATTACATAGAAAATTGTCAAGTTTAGATGATTTTTTGTATTTATTAGAAAGAATATTATGATAAGCGTTATCCACATTGCAACAAGTGTCTATTCTATGGTTAACATCAAAGTGTAGAAGTTTTATTGTTTTAAGTTGATTATTTTATTAACGAGAGCATTTTGTTTTACTTTCTAATCCGTGCTTTAAATTTTTAATTAACTCTGTTCATGAACTCTGGGCATCGTAAGATTAGTTGATTAGGCATCGTGGGGAGGGAAGAGGTGTTAAAGACAGTGAGTACGTACGTGGTTCGACTATTCCTTCTAAACTTTTAAAACATTGAACTTCACGTGTGTTTCATAAATCAGTATTATGTTGTATTTTTTCTGACTTCAGTCACAATTTTATTTAATTTTTTTATAAATAATGAGAAGAGAAAAAAGAAATGAGCGCCAATCGTTTTAAATATTTTTTACTTTTCGTAACGTAATTTGATTGGTAGCGAGATGAGAAGCAAAAAGACGTCAAATAAAAGCAAACTTTTTTTGAATTCTTAAATTTTGAATTTTTAAATTACTGTACTCAAACTGGTTTTTATCATTTCTCTTAAAATGTTAAAATATGTTATAATCAATCAATCAATTATATATTCTGGAAAAAAGATCTAACTTCCACGGTCGTTACAAATAGTTATAAAAAATAATATAAAGTAAAAACCTCTTTGATGATATAAAACATATTATAGACACGTAGTTATAGTTATAATAAAAATAGCAATAAATTAACAAAACAACAATAATAAAAATAGTTGTAATATATTAAGAATAACAATAATAATAGTACCAGTAAGTATAATTAACATCCAATAATAATGAATAAAATAAAATCATGATAATAATAAATACAATACATATATAACGGAATTGTTAAATAAATATTTAATAGAAGGTTGTACATTAAATATGTCAACAAAAAATAATATAACATATATATTATAACATTTTAAGATTTAAATAAGTACATTAAGTAACACTTTAAGTTTGAATTAAGTACAGAGAAATTTCAAATAAACTAAATGTTGTTTGTTTTTAATGTTTTTAAATATTTATGCGTTAAGGAAAAGGGGTTTTTATTTGAAAAAAAAATAATGCGTACGTACGCGGAGAGGGAGGGGGTCTTTGAAACCGTATAGGTTCGTACAAGGGGGGAGGGGGCCTAAATCAGTGGTTTTATTGCGTACGTACTTTATGGATGCTCCCTAATGATAACACCATTAAACTCTCTTATTCTTGATTTATGCTTAATGGTTTCAAATACTTTATTCAAACTTGAACCATATCAATTTTCTGCTTTGCAACAGCTATTAGTGTTTTTTAAATACAACGTACTAAAATTAAAAACAGTTTTATTTTCATTGAACACCAAACACCATTAATAGTTTGTATTTGATTTGTATTAGTGGTTTGTATTTGTATTAACTTTGTCACATATATATGTGTTTTTAATATAAATTACCAATCTTTCTCCTTGGTAGTCTTTGCCATCATTTCCAAAAGAAGTAAATACATTTAAAATATAAATATATAAAGATAACGTGAACCAAGTTTCTATGAAGCATATTATATGAGCCAAAATTATGGTGACCATTGTTATATTACTATTTGCTATGGTAATTGTTGTCACTATAGCAAATATTTAGATTAAGTGATATGTATGGTGACTGGTGTTTCAAATTTATTAAACTTATTATTTAAAGAAGCACCGTAGAACGGGGTGACTTTGTTAGGATTTTGAGCATTTTTGCAAAATAAATCTGGTTCATTACAATTTTTTCTGATTTTTTTTTTTCCCGTTATAACATTATACCTTTCCTTTATATAATTCCATTAAATATTTTTAATTTTTTTTTGTCTTAATATATATATTTTTAATCCAAAATGTTATCAATCTCACCCCGTCGTTTGGGGTGACTTTGATAGTCTATTATTTCTGAATGGCTTATTGATTTAACCCTCTTTACAGTGTCGCTAATACTTTCTTTTTGACTTTTACTAAATTAGAACACAACATATTAATAAACTTATAAGATTTACTGGTAAAATTATAAATTTAGACAACAAGTTTGGTTATCGAATATATCTACAGAATGGACAAAGAAAAAACAAAAATAAATTTGATGTTAATATGCTAAACACAAAAAAATAATATATCAATAACATTGTTATAGTAATTAGCAGTTATAAAATAACACTAACAAAAAAATAATACTAATTGCATATAAATATTAAGTACTGATTTACCCTGATTTACACTGATTTTTCTGCAAATGTGATTGAGAGTAACCAAAAACGAGTGGTATATTCCAGTGGTATTATAACTGGAAAATACCACTTGAACATCTAAGTATAGATTTTTAGAAAAAAAAAATTTCAAAAAAATTAAAATCACAAGATTTTTTGGCATTTTTTGGTACGTGTAAAAATCGTTATTTTTTTGTTATAGTCATGTTATTCCTAACACATTTGCACAATTTAGAATCACTTCACAATCATTAAAATTTCAAAAATATTAGCAGAATATAATTATGTACAAGAATAAAAAAAAAAAAAATAGTCTCTAATTGTGCAATTTCACATTCAAATCATTATTTTTGTAACTAACAGACGAAATTATCAAAGTCACCCCGCGTATCAAAGTCACCCCATTCTATACATAGCGTTTGTGTAAAAACATTTAACATACTTGTATACTTCATTAAAGTTGCTTTTAATTTAAAATTTCTAATTTGAATTTTTAATTTGGTATTTTTTTGTTTTGTAGCTAATGTTTGAAATTTAGAAAATTTGATGGTGAAATGCATTTCACCATCAAATTTCTAAAATTTTCATCAAAAGTAGTTTGGTTGTGGAAAACATGTTTTTGTCTAGCTATTAGCTCTTTAAAAGTTGTGAGTTGGTTGTCTTTTATTAGCTATCTCTAACAACTCTTTATATAATGTTCGCATTTTATTTTACCTGTAATTTCATAGCGAGTGTTAAAAAAAAAAGTAATAAAATATGTTAGACTTATAAAACTCCTTTGAAATATTTTATATGTTGAAGAATATTTTTAGTAAAAAAATATACAAATATTACATTAAAAACTAAAGATTTCATTTTTACGATTTTACTCGGCTTCGTTTTCTTCTTTTGTTTGTGATGAAATGAATTCTGGATAATCTATATAACCATCTTTGTTTAAATCGTCTTCTTCTAGAATTTGATCGACCATACCAGCAAGCTCCTTTAACAAATATTTAATTAAAATTAAAAATAACCGAATAATTTTTATATATTAATTGGATAACAGCTTGATGACTTGTTTACAATTATATTTTACCTCTTCTGTGTATTCCTCCGGCTTTTCAGAACCTTCGTCGTCATGGTAATGCGCCATTGCGTTTGCAAGTTCGATTCCATCTAATTTATCATCGTTGTCATTATCGTGTACTTTAAAATAATGGAACTGAAGATCGGTGTTACTTAATTTTTTTTCTGATACATTGATTTGTTCTTTTAAGTGTTCCTTGATGTGTCTAAAATGTGATGAAATAGATATATGTAAATTTTAAAATAATTACATTATGGTGTCAAATAAAATTATAAAATAAAATTTGTTATTTTTAAAATAAACTCACGCATTATTAGTATTAATTTAACTGTATTGTAAGAATTCATTATGGTATCAGATCCGCTCTTTTGATTATACTTGACCTAGATTAATCTCTTATAATTCAACACAGTGATTATACTCATAAGAGGTTTATGTTCGAATTAGTATATAAGTTTTATAATTTTTAGAAATAAAATAAAGTATATCTAAATGAATTGTTGTGCTGATTAAAAGTAGTTTTGTATTTCTTGCGTAAATTTTGTCACTAAAAATAGTTATTTTAAATTATAGTTATTATTTCCATCTATACGTTTTTTTTAAGGAATTATGTATTTCTGTATGATTTTAATTTTAACTTGTTTAATTATTTACAATAGTAATTATTTTGCAAACTTCTTAATTAGGTGCAAAATTTTAGGTGTATTATGTTTGTATTTTAGGTGTTTAATGTTATTTTATTTCTGTAAAAGAAATAAAATAACATCAAACACCGTAAATTGCGCATATCTTTTTTTTGGCTTGCAACGCTAGCTAATGGAAAGATATGCGCACTTTACGGGAAAAATACCGTGAGCGAACGTGTATACCAGAATTGGATTGCAAAATTCCATTTTGGCGACGCGTCATGAGAAAGGTCTAGAGTGCTCAGACAGACCATTGATAGTTAATTAAGGTCAGCTAAAAATACTCGGCATCTTACTACTACAGAAATGGCGGCGATGATCAGTGTATCTCAAAAAATCGTGGTGAATAACTTGTGTATATTCTTTCTATTTTATATACCCCCATAATTAAAACTGCGTCTTTTGGCGAAGTTTATTCAAAAAAAAAAAAAAAAAAAAGTTTCATATTTGCTTTAACAAGAGAGTTATTCAATTTTTAGTTAACTTTTTTCGTAATAAACCATTTTTACGATATATCTTTGTACTTTGTACGTTTTATTAATATGCGGTTTAATAAAAAATTTCTACATTTAAAAAGCTTAAGAATTTATTTGCTTTGTTAAAGAGAAAAATAAATATGGCTGCTAACCAACATTTTAAGGAGATAATCTTTTTAACAAAAATTCATTTTTAGCTACTATTATTTAAAAAAAAAAAAAAAAGCTTAAAGGGTATCCATAAAGTACGTACGCAGTAAAACCACTGAATTAGTACTCCATCCCCCACCCCATCTCTCTTCGTAGGTACTATAATACCATATTACAAACATTAGGTTGTGATAGACTGTGATAAAGCTAAATGTGTCTTTGTTTTTTTCCAACCATTCATTTTTGATTTATGTGTATGCATTGATGCGGAACAAATACTTTGTTGATTGCAATTGACAATAATATAACCAAGTTATAAGAATCGGAGAATCGTGATCATCGAAGATAAGATAAGAGGCCATTTAATAACTATATCAGCCAAGAGTTGAATGTATAATTAGAGGTAAACTTTGAGTAGTATGAGAAGAGTTGTGCAATTCATTATAATGTTTTATTATAAAATTATACTTTGGCAGCCTTTAAAACTTTTTTTCATATGCTGCTTTGTATAGCTTTTAAAAACTAAAGTCATAATTAACATAAGTCATAATCAGCTTAAGTCATACCTGCTACATATTATAAGCATAAACATAAGTGTTTTTTAGGTAGCTCTCAATTATACATTTGTTAATTATCCGTTAAAAAAACAGCAACTGCACTAGGACGAAATAGCAAGCAAGTAAATTGGTCCAATTTGCCATCGGTTTCAAATTCTGTATATGGCTTGTTTTCTACTAAAAATGTTGCCAAATGCTTAAGATTAGTGAAAATTGTTGACTCTTTTTTTCTGGTTGTCTTTTCTGGGTTGATAATGACATCAACGAATGTGAATTTGTTTAACAACTTTGTGGGAGCAATTAACAAATTTGTTTTTTGTGCTGCTTATTTGTAATGATCATGATAAGCGCCTTTTAAGTACATTGTATAGAAATTATAGAAAAATTTTAGAAAATCTTTCAAATAGTTCTACAATTTTTTTAAATAAACAATAATTTATTTTCGGAATGGATGAACAGTAATCAACGTGATCGAATCTTCTAGATTTAGTTGCAGTCTGATGATAGTCTTTGGAAAGATTTTTTTAAATATTACAGAAAAATTGTTCAGGCAATTTAAAATTTCTTCAGATTACAAACCGTAATATTCCTCAAAAGGGATTGTTATTTTGCTATGCTGTTTTATTTAAAACTTGACTAAGGGTAACATAGGTACATTAGTCAGCAGAGATTAATAAATTGATATCAACATGATTTTAATTTTGAAAAATTACCCTACAGTAGCTTTAGATTTTTTTTTGGATTTTGGGATTTAATATTTATCTATAATTTTTTCTGCACTTCTAGCATTTATTAATGCAGAGAAGTTCTTTTCTTTTATCTCAAATTCAAAATTGCATGCAAGAGGCAGTCCCAAGCACTTATCATTATTAACGTATTAACGAGTTCAGAAATAGTTAATGTTCTATTCAATTTATACACTTTTAAAAAAATGTCTTTGGTTTTGATATTTCCGAAAAACAGTACCTTGAGCAGGACAACCAATGCGCGAACGGCAGTTCTCTGGGTAGGTGGCAAACTTCACCACTTATTGTATTACTTCTTTTTTTTTTTTTCACTATCAACCACAAAAAGACATTTTGTGGTTGATAGTAAAATTTGATATTGGATATGTTTTCATAAGTAGTCAGTGATAAGTAAAATTGATAAAAATTAACTTATTTTATTTACCAGTAAATCTTTTCAATTTAGTCGAATATGCAGCAACAAGTATTAACATTCAGCTTCTTCATAAAAAAGTTGCACTCATTTAAGTAACCATTTAAAAAGTTAAATTTTCAAAAATTAAAACGTTTTATCTTTATCGGTTTTCCATCAATGCAAGTCTGTGCCAAAAGTAGCAAAATTGCATGACATTCATGTACTCTTAAAGTATTATTTAATTTATAATATAGATGAGCCCGAGCTACAGCAAAATTTTTAAACCCTACCGTTATTACCGTTTAAATCATACCGTTAAAAGGTAACAAACACTTGTAACCTTTCACTTCTAGAAAGCATCAAACCATGGCTATTGTTGCTGGTGTAAATGCTACAGATGATTCCGCATTTGATAAAAAAACATGTAAAATGATTAGAGTTCGATTTCTCAATACTTACGAATGCACCATCAGACTCAAATTTGAACTTTCAAGAAACAGGTCGGACTAAGCAAGGGGTCCAACCCGGCTAAAAGATCTTATGGCCTTTCACAACTTATGTTAGGCAAGAGTTGGTGAACCTTTGGTTCACCGATTCCTAAAGAAAACAAATTTTCAACTTGAAATCAGTTTTTTAAGAAATATATTCGGATAGTAAGCATTTGACACATTTCAGTGCGCAGATATATTGTTTCAGATATACAAGTATTTAGTATTCTGTTTCTATCTTGTTGGATTAATTTAGTGACATTTAATAATTGATAATTTTAAGAGATAATATCCCTGATTCAAAATATACTGTGCTACGATCTGAAAATTTAAATTTAATAATGATTAATGGTAAGAAATAACCAAATGTAACTTCAACAATGTTTTAAAACATTAGTTTAAGTCAAATTCTAACAAAATCAGCATTAAAGAAGGTGAACTTTTAATGAAGCTGACAACTTATAATTTAGTGGCATTGTAATAAAAGTTGAAACTAAAAAATTACCAGTTTTAAGTTATAACTGTAACGATGTCATCGTTTTACTATTAAATGATTTAATCAATGAAACTGGAGCACCACGATGAGGAACTTTCTAACTATAACACGTTACCATAAAAACCAAAAGGTTTGTTTTATGATAATAGGCCATTGTTTTTATAAGTCATAAACTAGAACAAAGTCTTTAACTCATAAAAATATAATAATATTAGTGTGATAACAGTGTAGGTATATTGTTAAAATATTTTTTTAATTTATTCGGTTGTATGTTTTACCGCCGATAGATTAAATTTAAGAAACAGTTAAAATTTTGTTGCTACAACACTGAACATAAACAAATTTGATGAAATAAATGTTGAAACGGTAGTTTAATAACAAATCTTTAGATCAAGTGTATTGACATTTTAAACTTGAGCAGCTGTGCAGTTTTTCGAGTAATTTTTTTGGAACCGAGAGTTCCAAGGTTCAATATCAGCTCAGGCCATTAATACAAAATTGGTTAGAAAAATTGGTAAGAAAAGACCACAAGCTTCCTAGTTAAATACTCTTCCGTGGTGCTCTGTGGCGTGCTCCGTGGTGCTCTGTGGCAAGATCTTAAGTACTTCGTGGAGCACCTTAACAACCAGAAAAAAAGAAAGAATATACAACAATTTTTTAATATTATGAATTTTTCTGGTGCATACAAAAAGTTAAATTTGATATTATTAACTTATTAAAACACATGTCCAATAAAAGATCTTTTATAATGAGCTACAAGCTTACATTATTACATAAGGCAATTAAATTCACGAATTCTTAAATACTGATTCTTAAAAACATATTACAACTTCCATTGTTCACGTTTTGTTTCTTTATTTCAATTTCATATTAAAAAGGTTTCGTTAAAAATTGTGGCCTTGACACGAATTCCATCATAAATGATAAGACAAAAATAAGAAAATAAAAAAAACTACAATCAATAACGTCAGATATAATTTATATTTTTGTAAACACAAGTAAACATTCAACGTATCAATTATAACGTGAAACAATTTTGTGTTTACTGTTTCTTTTTTTCTTTTTTTTTAATGCTCAATGAGTCAGGCTATCTTTTGACGTTAAACAGTAAAAACAAAAATATATCGTTGTTGCTTTAACATAAATCTATCAAAACTCGGCATAAAAAAAGTAACAAGCGGTTACAGTAGCCCTAATTGACAAGAAATCAGCACATTTTTTCTCTTTATTTTAGAATTTTTATTTGTTTGACAATATTTTCTTACAAAGTCAACATTTATATGTCAATATTTGTATTTCTTTATTGAATATTTCTCTATTTATATTTTTTGTTTGTGTGTGAGTGCATACTTACCGTATTTAAATATATTATAATATTTTTGTGAACTAATTTATAATAATATTCAAAGAAATATATATATATATATATATATATATATATATATATATATATATATATATATATATATATATATATATATATATATATAAAGTTATGTGTATATGTGTGTGCGAGAGAAAGAGAGAGTGTGTGTGCATGCGTGCGCGTGTGTAATATTTTTAAATTCTTATTTTCATTTTTTATTTTAAATAATAGTTTTATTTGTTTTATATTTAAGTTCTTCTTTTTTTGATGATAAATTTAAAACAAAATATTTATTTGAAAATTTGTTAATGCGTGGATAATTTAAAATAAACAATGATTCACTTACTCTTTATCTTGGATGTGTTTCACATCGTGCATTTTGTTTTTAACATGGTTTTCATTATGCTTATTTACATTTGCCGTTTTGTTATCGAGACTTTCTTGTTTCGTGTGCTGCTCGTTGCATTTACACAAAGAACATGCCATTAACAATGTAATTAAAGGAAAAACTACGAAAGACATTTTTTAAAAAAGACATAAACTTGATATTTAAAAAATCTGTTGTTAAAAAAATTTATGGCAGAGCTTTAATTTTTTCGGCATGCAAGCATAAGTTCTCTTGTTGCGCATGTGCGCGATCGCTTTTACGAACGAACAGACGTGGCAAACGACTTGCCCGTTATCACTGTTGTTGTTGACCTGTCACGTGTTGCCTCTTGGCTCATTGTGGGTACTTCACTGTGATATAACGTATAGTCAAAACACGCAACACACCATTTGTTATGGCTGCTGAAGCAGCAGAACAAACAGAGAAGCCGGCTGTACAAAGTTATTATAATGGCGATCTCACAATAGAATTAAACACTTCAGATTTGAATAAATCTAGTGTGACGCCATCAAAGGAAGAAATTTATAAACTAGGATTTTCTCTTAACGATCTTTACAAGTTATCACTTCTATTTTATAAGAAAGGTAAAAGTACCACGTATACTTTTCCAAAAACCTTGTCTATAAACAGCAACAACTTTTTGCTTAATGTGTAAAATAAAACATGTTAAATCTAAATATAATAAAGGTATGCTAACGAAAACAGTTAATTACCTTTTAAATTAGAAAATACGACATTTTATCAGTTACTACCCACTAAGTCAAATTGAGAGTTCCATAAGTATCAATTAAAAAATGATTGATTCCATTTAAAACTAAACCACAAAAAAGAAAAAAAAAATTAGCATCATGATTATAATTAAAATTTGCATTCCTATAAACCTACAATAATTTCCATATATATCTGTTTTTTATTCTTTAAAAATAATATTTTTTACATAAATTTTTCAAGTTTATTTATTGAAAGTGTAAGTTAAAAAATATATATATATAAAAGTGAATGAGAAAGGGTAAATCTGTCTTATGGGTATTAATTACATGCATTATATGAGCTTACTGTTTACATATGTTTGTACCTGTGTCAAATGTCTCTCAAAGAAAACCTGTTAGAAATAAATTCTCATAGAATGCTTTTTCCAAAAATTATATTTTATAAATCAAAGTTTGTCAGAAAATTTCATTAAAAAATGCTTTTTTTTTTTTAATTTTTTAATGTGAGTTTTCCCATACTTTGTTTAAACTTACACATAATAAGAGTTTATTCCTGAGTATAAACTTAATTTATATTAATTTTCAAAAAAAAATTTTAAATAGATGCTGACACATTGTTAATACCGTATGCTGATAAAGTTCAACTTGTTGCACTATGGAAGCAGGTAACTTGTGGAAAATTTGATGAATCAAAAAGTCCAGATATAGGATACTTTGATGTTATTGGGAATGATAGGAAGTGAGTTTAAATTTTTAATTTACAACATGTTTACTTAGTTTAAATTTTAAAAAGATTTATTTTTATTTAGAAAAGCCTGGGAAGGTTTAGGAGATTTATCTGTAGATGATGCAAAGAAAAGTTTTATATCAATTCTGGAGAGTAAAACAGCAAATTTTATACCTTTTATTGAAATGAAAAAACGTGAAATAGAAGTTGAAATAGAGAAAAAACGTTTAGAGAGAGAAGAACGTGCAAAAAAGGAAGAAGAAATAAGAAGAAGGAATGAAGAAGAAGAGAGAATTAGGAAAGAAGAAGCAGAAAGAATTAAACTAGCACTGCAAGCAGAAAAACTGGCTATTGAAGAAAAAAAGTATTTTTTCATATTTTCTTTATATATATATATATATATATATATATATATATATATATATATATATATATATATATATATATATATATATATATATATATATATATATATATATTTATTTATTTATGTATATGTGTGTGTATATATATATATGTATATATAAACATATATAAATATATATACTATATATATATATATATATATATATATTTATTTATTTATTTGTATATATGTATATATAAATATATATAAATATACAGCGTGTAAAATAAGAAATCGAAGGCGAGCGGTCAATTTGACCAGCTAACCCTTGGAATTGACGGTCAACTGTTTTTTTTTGGATGGTCAACATTTTTATTATTTTCTTTGTTTTCATTTTAATCTTCATATTAGTTCTTCATGACTGATCTTTATAAATACAAAAATAACTTAGTATTTGATAATTAATGAATTAGTATTCCTTTTTTAAACTTGCAAATAACTAACATTTAAATTACATGCCAATGTTAATAGTTTAAAATTAAGCGTGCAGATTTTCATTTTACTTCTTAAAGGAAGTTTGGTAAACTGATTAACTTTTTCAAAATTTTAATGATTATGTGATAATTTAGTACATGCTTTTTCCAAATAATAGTCTGATTATTTTTCTAATCTTGTTTTCCAAACTCTAATTATTTTTCAACTAGTCAACCATGACTGGCATGAATTCATTTTGGGAGGTCAAAATAGCAATTTTACTCATTTTGGGCGGTCATTGACCGTTGACCGGCCGTTATTTTACACACTGTAAATATATATATATATATATATATATATATATATATATATATATATATATATATATATATATATATATATATATATATATATATATATATATATATATATATTAGCATCTGCTTAGGTTGCTTCTCTTTATCATGCTTGCCATTTTTTTATTTTTGATTCCATTCTCTACCTCTACAAATCTCTTATTCATCCCTGTATTAATGCTGTTGTCATATATATCTGCGAAGCTTGAGCCTCTTTCCCATTATCGTAAAGTTGCATCTCTTTCTCTTATCTACATATACGCTGCTCAAGAAGCTATCATCCCTAGTCCTGTCAACTAAAACTCATATTCGCTTGACTTAAAATTCAACTAAGTCTCATTTGTTTACTGTATCTGTCTTTGTATGCAATTTTTATTTGTCTAGATTTTTTTCCCGTGCTTCAACTCTTTAAAACTCTCAACTTTAAAACAACCTTCAACTTTTCAAGTCTTCTAAAACCTTCAACTTTTCAAGTCAACTAGAATTTCAGTATATTTTTAAAATAATTTTAACACTACCTATGATGAGTTTACAAGTTGACTAAGAGTGTGAATACATTCTTATGAATTAATAAGGAGTAAGAGGTGGACACATTCTTATGAATTAATAAGGAGTATACTCTTCTGATTTTAATGTGTTTCATTCTGTATAAGAAATTTGCTTTTTTGTTCAAATGATTTTACGCTAATAATGTAAAAAATAAAACAAATTTTTTACCACTTTTCATAAATCTATATTTGTTTTTTCTTACTGTCTTTCTGAATATCTTTACTCAATATATATACATTTGCAAATACCCCTGAGGGTATAATAAACAGTATAAATGTTATATACAATATAATATACGACGCGCCCACAACATTCTTTCTGACACAATAATAGTTTTTATATAATACAATTATTTACACTAATTACAACACCCCTTGAACTCTATATCACAAAGTCCGCATACTTATTCGAAAATGTCCGTACACGCGTTAATCTGAGATTCAGGTTATCCGCGATGGGTTTTTCCAATTCTCTAGTAGACAAGTAAGCTACAATGGGAGCTGGACGGATGTCCGACATTTGCCTCTGCAGTCCATTGATTTCCAAGTTTGCAAGTATAGATTTTAGGTGTAATAATAAATCTATATTTGTTTTTTCTTACTGTCTTTCTGAATATATTTCTCAATATATATATATATACATTTGCAAATACCCCTGAGGGTATAATAAACAGTATAAACGTTATATACAATATAATATACGATGTGCCCACAACATTCCTTCTGATGCAACACAATAATAGTTTATATATAACACAATTACAATGGAAAAGTATTCAGAAATTTATTCAGGGAATGTTATAAGAAACTAGGTGATCTGATCTTCTTTTTTGAAATTCATCATCATTTTCACCATGTTTGACCTATTATCAGTATGGATTCCGAGAGTTTGTTCTTTTTAGATCAATATTGCTAATGATTGGTTAACACAAATTTGTGTTAACCAATTTTTTTTAGTATTCAAATATATTTTTTCTAACCTATTTTTTATTTTTTTACATATATGACTAAAATTCTCATTATTTTATGTTACACAGTTTATAATATTTTATTTCTATATCATTAAGTAAAAATTATTATTAACTAAGCTTAATTTTCAATAAATTAAGATGTATTAAATATTGATAAATTTATTTTTTCCTCATAAAAAGTTATTATTTACTATAGGTTACTATAAGAACTTGTTGTAAAATAGTTCATATGTGAGATTAGTATGAAATATGTAATATAAGTATGAAGTATGTTGGATAAGTATGATTTAGCTGAGACAAGTTTGAGATATGTGGGATAAGTATAAGATATGTAAAATAGGTATGAAATATGCAAGCTAAGTATGAAGTATGTGGGATAAGTATGTGGAATAAGTGTGAAATATGAAAACCTTAAATTTCACAATATATTTTTGAACTTACCAATTTTTTGTGATATAGTTTTTTAGCTGGATTTATTAGGAGTAAAGGAGAAATGGTTTTCATTCAAAATAACATATAGGCTCATAGTAAAAGGAACTGAAAAAATTTTTACTTTTAATTAAAGAAACTAAATTTATTCTAAATACATAAAAATTAAATATATGTAATATTTTTTTAATTTGTATAGAAAAAAAGAAGAAGAAGAAGCGTTAGAAAAAGTAAGTATGAAAATATTTACAATATAAAAATATTTACATTATCTGTAAACAATGTGCTTATTTAAAAAAATAAGCACATTGTTTACAGATATCTTAAAAACTTATTTTAAGTATTTAAGATATTTTGAGGAAATGTTGTAAAAATAATATAAAAACGATTAGCTTTATTTTCTAATTTATATTATTAAACTCATTTATTATCATTTCATGACATCTGTATGTATTAGTACAGTATACAGTACTTTCAAAAGCTTATTACATATGTATTTATATACACACATACGCAACCCTTGGAATTAGGGTCGGCAATGCCAACCTGAAAGTGTTTTAGGTCGGCAAAAAATTGCCAACCTCGTTTTTATGTTTTATTGTTAGACCTTTGCATCATAATTTTTCCGACCTTTAAAAAATTGAGTTCGGCAAGTTATTGCCGACCTCAATTTTCCTAATTCCAAGGGTTGCATACGTCATAGACTTTTGAAAGCACTTTATATGTTTATAGAGTGCTTTCAAAAGTTTATGGTATAACTATGTATATGCTTTGTATGCTCTCAAATTTGTATATATATGCTTTGTATGCTCTCAAATTTATATACAGTGCTTTCAAAATAATATGTTTTGTTGCTTAAAGCTTTTTTGAATATCATAAAATAAATAAAGATATTGAACTATTTGAATCAATGCATATTTTATACATTGATTTTGGTTAAAATGCTCCTCCAAATGATATCTAGTTCTTGCTTTAGACTATTTATGGATCTTATTTAAACTTTGATTAATTCTCTATCCATCAAGCACAAATAAATTTGATTAGATTTAAATCTGATGAGAAAGCTAGCCAGGGCAATGAATGTTTGTTTGCATTCATCTGTGAACTGACTGTACAAGTTGTGTGAGCATGTGCTATTTCTTGTTGAAACTGTCTCCATTTATTTTGATTATTTTACTTATGCAGTTCTCTATTGTCTCTATATGGGCGTGTTTATTGATTTTGTATAAATGTTACACACACCTGCTGAGTTAGAATTTAAGTTGCCCCAAAAACCAATACTCCCACTGCTATCCAGTACAGCTAAGCAGTCACTACACCTTTCTATGGATGCTTCGAGGTGGACATTTGACTTCTTTTTATTTATTTTTTAATTTTATTAGTGATTAAAATTACAAATAAAATTTGTCAGCTTTGGACAATTTAAGCTGAAATTCGATAATTTCTGCTCATGTTCTTGATTTTTAACTAGATGCAGCTGTCCTAATTCTTTATTTTCTCATTCCTTATTTTATTCAAACAATTCAGATATTTAGTTCATTAAAAAAAATATTTACTGACAATTCGTCACGCCTGTAAATTGGCCATGTCTTCCAATAGCTTATTTAATAAATGCAATGCCGTGTTAGAGTATTGCTTTTTTCAGCATTTCACTTGTTTTCACATCTTTATTATCAGATAAAGATAAACCAGCTTGACAATCCAAAGTCTTACATTCCTTTAGCAAATAGTTTAACAGCTTTAAAAGTATTCCTAACATAGTATATAAAACAGGAGGCACTATATTTTCAAGTTATTGAGAATCACAGCAGCAATGATTGAATATTGAAAATGACCTAGAGTTCTTAAGTTTCCAACACGTTTTTCTTTGCACAGGTTGTGAGCTTCCTCTAGAGGTTTTATTGTTTATCTAGAGATATTACAAGTTTGCAGCTGAACCCTGGTGTCCAAGAACATCATAGATGAAATGAAAATCTTCACATAATAAAAGCTGGATTTTTTTGTCTTTTGAATTAAAATCTGACAACTGAATACTTTTATTTTCTTTAATGAAAATTATTTGCTTTCAATTTCCAAAGTAATTTTTTTGAAGTAAAATAATACTTATTGTATTTAAAGAAAAACAATTTTTTTTAAATACAATAAAAATTCTTTCATTCAAACCTTTTTTTTTTATTCTGGTTCACTCTAAACAAGGCTGCAGCCTTGTTTAGAGTGAACCAGAATAAAAAAAAAAGGTTTGATTTACTCTATTTGTATAGCTTGTCCCATAGTCGTAAAGTTGCATATCTTTTTCTCTTCTACAAATACCTTATGGTAGATGCTCAAATGAACTATAACTTCTAGTTCCATCAACAAAAACTCATTCTCGCTTGTTTTCAACAACAAGTTCAGTTTTTTTTGTTAATTTAGTTTTATCAAAGTACAAAGTAAAGTAAAAAAAACTATATAAATATATATATATATATATATATATATACATATATATATATATATATATATATATATATATATATATATATATATATATATATATATATATATATATATATATATGTATGTATATGTATATGTATATATATATATATATATGTATATGTATATATATATATACAGTATGTATATACACATAGAATCAGTTATTGGAATCGTCACCAAAGTTTCTATCTTCTAAAATTGTTGGGAATTCTACAGGGAAATCAATGGCCCAGGCATCACTGTGGACGAGACCAAAATTACAAGAATTTATTACTCATGTTAAACGTGATGCAAACAGTGTTTTAGTTATTGGCAGAGGAGAAACTGTTACTATTAGAGTCCCAACACATGAAAATGGTATCCTACAATTTAGTTTATATTCATTTGAATTTAGCATTATTTAATATTTTTTCTTGTTATTTTGATTTGACGTTTGTTTTTGGCAGGTTCATGTTTGTTTTGGGAATTTGCTACTGAATTTTATGACATTGGTTTTGGAGTTTATTTTGAATGGACATCAGGTGACAACTATACTGCAGAAGAAACATTAAAGAAACACTTAGTTGTGCATGAAAATGAAAATAACGATGAGGTCATTTTAAAAGCAAGTACTGATGAAGTTTTACCAGTTTTGCGTAGGAATTCTCACGAGGAAGTAATTGTTGGTTCGCATCTTTATCCCGGACAAGGAATTTACTTACTTAAATTTGACAATTCTTATTCTTTATTACGGTCTAAATCATTATACTATAGAGTTTATTATACAAAATAATTTTTTATAAGAAAGAATCTTTAAATTTATATAATAAACATTCATGGGCATGGATGTTATATATTGTATTATATAGTGTATGTGAATATGTCTATATAAGTATGTTTGTGTGAATGTGTCTATATAAGTATGGTGCATGGCAACGTAAATGTAATAAAAAATGAGTTCTGATTCATCAGGCAAAAAAATCAGAATTCAGAAGATTCAGAATTTTTTTCCAACTCAGTTATCTGTTTCATATGAAGTTTAAAACCGTAAAACATAAATATAAAATGTCTAGCCAGGAAATTAGAATGTAATAGTTATACTATGAAATAGTCAGTTTATTTTATCTAGTACGGTCATGCACCTTAATATATAATTAGTTTGTGTGTGTATATTATTTCAATGTTATATCTTGTATGTTTTTTTATAATAAAACTATAATGCATAACAATTGCTTACTAGGCTTTTTTAAAACTAAAAAAACTAGTGCATAGCTACTGTTTATGCTTTATACTTTGAATATATATAAAATATAAATATCTCTTAATATATATATATATATATATATATATATATATATATATATATATATATATATATATATATATATATATATATATATATATATATATATATATATATATATATATATATATATTCAGGGTAAGTTATATTTTTTTAAGTTGGGAAGAGTTGTAACATTTGCTGACAATTGTTCTTTCACGTACTCATTCAGGAAAGTATA